CTTCCAAATGTGCTTCGCGCCACAACGGCGTGCATTTTTTCATCTCTCACCTCCCCAGATGTCTCCGCACCCGCCGCTTTAGCGAGCCTACTTTTCAACCCTCCGGAGCCACCAAACCACGAAAAAACACAGTGTTTCGCGACTTTCCTACCTTTTCGCGCACCTGCATCTTCTTTCTTCTGATCTTTTCTCTTCTGACTCTTCTCCCTGCTGACTGCTTTTTCATCTCTCCATGTTGTCGGAAGTTTGACTTCCAAACTTCCTTCGATAATAAATAAATAAATAAATATATATATATATATGCACACTCATACGCACCATATTTATTCATATTTGGGGTCAACTGCGTGCCAGGCCTACCAGTGGCTGGAGGGGCTATGGAGGAGAAACGCCAGGTGAGGGCGAAAGTTGGGGGCGGTTGGCTGTTCCAATAGTGGGCCATCCCGGTACCGGACCATTTGGGGATAACTCTATATACATCATCCCAAACAGGGTGCCAGTAGTCAACCTCAGTTGGGGTGTATTATTGGGTTTGGTTTACCACCGTTTAGCTCGTAAAGGGGTATGTTTATCTCATCAAGGGGTATGTCTAGCAAACCAATACCCAACATAGCCCCATACAGTAGCCCCTATTGATCGGGTTTAGAGAAGTTTAGTTTAGAGACTTGGTAGAATGGGCACAGGGAAACCCCGTCATGGGCCATGTACCTGACATAACACAGCTATGGAAAATTGCCCTTCATAGATCATGTGCCTGCTAAAAGTTAAACGTGGTGGTTTCCTCAGCTATGTTGCTTACCATTGGAAAATCGCCATTTAAAGTAGGTAAATCATCGAACTAAATGGGTTCCTGTCGCACATTACCATAGCGCAGCCGTTGAATCCCAGTGAAATCCCATGAGCCCCTTGACTTTACAACAAATATCCTGAAAACATCAACTAAGTAACTAAGCCAGTGACGCATCAATGTCAAAAGATATATATATATATCCAAAAAAACCAGCGAATAATCCCCTTATATCACATTAAATCACCAATGGTTTACATCAATTCCATCTAAAATCAGCCAAGCACAGGCAACTGTGTGTTGAACGGCACCTGGAAACTCCTCTTCACCGACGCAGCGGACGCCACCTTTCGCCGGGGCAAGCGTTTCTTGGCGCTGGGGATGGTCATATTGCAGATGGTTTAGGGTTGGGTTTACAACGTTAGGAAATTTTGACCATGGATGCGGAGGTTTTTCAGTGCCATGGATTTCGGAAACGGCATCTAAAAATGGGGCATCCCCACGGTGACTTGACCAAGGAAGGTGGCTGATATGGATGGTTCGGTATGATCATGGACATCACCAATGTAATTGTAGAATGGGGCACGACCACGGATACAGCTTCACAAATGAAGACCTTTGGGACTTTGGGAATACAGCCTCATTATATTAATTATTCTTTGCTGGCATATCTGGCATGCCCCCAATTAGAAGTCAAAAGCACTCAGCCACGGATTCAAACCTCCCAAATGGCCAAGCTGGGTTTGTCTTGAAGATACCCCAAATTTGATGATTGACATCTGATTGACCATCATTTCCTCATGAAATGATTCAAATGATTCACCACGTCCCTCCCTAGGCGGTTCAGCCAAGACCTTCCAGGAAATCGACGCGGAGCAGGGATGGTTGGGGTGCCCAATGGTGCTACCTATATCCAAAACTGATCCCTTATCATTGTACCGTCTGTTGAGACTGATGTTATCAGAATCAGGGCATGGAACATCACAGTAAAGCCATGTAAAACCTTCTCAAGTTGCTAGGTTTATCAACTGCGTGGATTTCTCCAATGAGAAGAGCAAGTTGCAGGGCTTCAGGCGCCAGATCTCGGCTGCATGTTTCTCGACTGTGTTTCTCAGTCTCCTATCGGATGTTGACACATCCGCAACTCTACAATGATGTTGTTGTAGTGCGTGGCAGTTCCATTCTGAAGGTGGTTCTCCTTGCTGCAATTGACCCTACCGCAGTTGGATGTTTGATGGTTTTTGCCAGAAGCCTATGCGGCTAAGGTGTGGCCTAAATGTTGCCTGCCCAAAAATTGGACAATTGAATCTTCCACAACGGTAGTTCACTACATCTGAAGTTTTGGCTAAAGACCTTATCTTCATTTCCAGTAGTGCTTTTATCAACAAACATAATATTTTCAAGACATTTGCATGGGATTTCTTCAGTTTGTCCATATGTTTCCTTTGAATTTCAGCTTCCACCAGGGTCTTTGTGGAGGGCAGGGTGTTGAGTGACAATGAGATCGAGCTGATCTTCAGGAAGGTACCCAGTCACTGGGGGAACCAGCAACCCAGTATAGCAACCCCTCAGAAAGCTAGAAGAGGGTCGATTCCTATGAAAATAGTGATCAATCACGATCAAACATTTTTTTTGGAGGGGTTGCTGTAACAAAAACTCATTGTTTTGGCATTTTCTGGCCACAATTTTTGATATCTTTGCAGGTGCTTAGAGGGTGTAAGTAAATTGATGATTAATGATGGCCTAAACAAATGGGAATTGATGCTTATAGCAGCCCCAAACAGATAGAAGTGGGTAAAATCCGATTCAACAATCCTGGCAAGCTACTGTTCTATCTTGTTGGGGATTTCTATATGGCTAATGAGAAAGTATTGTCTTGATGATTGAGATTGATCCATCTTGGGGAAGAAATTTATGGCCTTGACGATCCCTGAATTATTTGTATGTTGATGATATGCGTTGATGATATGTTTGGGGGAACCACGGAAAACGTGGTTTTGAATGAAGTTTGAAACCAAATGTTGGTAGATGTTGGTGGTATTATAAGAGATTGTATGTCCAGATGGTGGGGGTATCACGGACCAAACAGTAAAATTAGGTATAGTTTGTTATTATTGCGCTTACCGGCTTACTGTTGCTGATTTATATAGTTCATCAATGTCGATCAATACTTCTGAACACTTGTTTTTTCTTAAACTTATCGAAATTGTCCATCACAAATCCTAGTAAAGCCACAATCACAAACCGAGCTCGCTATGGTATGCTATGGCACGCCAATTATGAGGTCAACTGGACCAAGATTTTTCAAGAAAAAAAACTCTTAGTCGCAAGGTGCGACTACTACGTCGATCCAGGCATTGGCTCCGCGGGAAACCATGGTCTGATGATCCCACATAAAAGGGTGGGTACCTTTGTGCTTCCCCCTGACATTAAAAAGCCGGGAAAATGGACCAAACTAGCTTTGTGAGATGATTTTGCCTAATTGAAGATGTAGATTTTGGATGATGTTTGATTTCATAGTGGATCTGGAGTGTCAATTCCCGGCAGCCGCGGCCCCTAGTATTGGACAGGTGATGTTTCAAGATTAGCTGGCGAGAGTGGCCAGTTCTCAAATGCGGGGTGGATGCTAGGGAGTTCCCATTTTCAGACATACTCTCTAGTAATTTCGCAGTTTGCCATGGAACATGGTGCATTTATATATAGGTGATTTTCCATATCAAACTGACAGGTTACCAGAGGGTACTTGGATCTTTCCGATTTTCTGGCAGGTTCTTTCCAGAGATTACCATCCCACTGCCAGGACAGGGACTTGCAGACTTGCTGTTGAAAATAACGGGAAAATATGATGTTGGTTGGTTCAACGTGGCTGAATCTTCCATTTTGGTTGGTGAAACAGACATAACAAACCTACATTTTGCTTGGTCAAACATGGTCACCCCAGCATTTTGGTTGCTCAACCCCTCCGGGAGTTGTTTTTCTGAACCCCCAAAGTTATCAAATTATCTTTCTTCATCCGTGAGGACCGGGTTTCCTGCGAGCTGTTGGGCGTCTCTTTGCAAGATCAAAGGGTGGCAAGGCGCCTGGGCCTGTGGCAGTTCCAGCTGTTTTTCTACAGGGCTCTCTGAACATGGGCACACCAAAAAAGACACTCTCTTAAAACTATCGGCGCCAGCAAACATATCATTTTGGTAACCCATCAGATTTGTAAAGGAATGATCAATCCGAAAAAGGATGATACACCATCAAATTTGTGGTATTCCGGTCTCCTTTCAGACCCATATAGAGATGAGATGCGAGATGATTCATGAAGGCTGGCGGAGTTTGAGTTAAGCTCCGAGCCTGCACTCGCATCGTTGAAAGCGACAGGTGAACGAAAGCAATCGCGGAGCCGGCTTCAAGTGGCCCACTGAGAGGGGGGAATGGCAAGACCCTCCAGGAAGGGCCCCAAGTAGAAACGTGAAACGTCAAAGGCAGGCGGTGTGGTCCTTGAAAGCCCTTGGAAGCCTGACCGATCCTGCAGGTTGCTGTATGTTGATGGGGACCTTCGAATACACCGAACCTTTGATGGCCTGTACTTCGTTCAGAGGCGCGATGGCTGCTCTGGGCTGGAATCTGGAATTTGATTTACCCTCTGGTACTCAAACATGGCAATGGGAAATCGTCTACAAATATGGAAGTTTTCATGGGGAATTCCTCTATAATTCCTGTATAAATGGGGGGTTTTCAATTGCCACGTTTGATTACTGGAAGGTAATGATGTTCAATGGTTCTTCCCCAAAATTGAAGTGCTCCACGCCGTGGCAAGTTTTATACCACCTTCAACCGCCCAGCAGCCAGCTAGCCAACTGGGAAATGTTCAATTCAATTGTCAAATTGTTGTCCTGAAAAAAGATAAGTGCCCAGATTTTTGCGATCCGCAATTTTTGAGTGGTCCTTGGGTTCGATTTGCGAGTATCTGAGTTTGTACGCATAATAGAATATGTTATAGTACATTAATATATTAATATTAATATTATATATGTATATATATTAAAATAATATAATATAATAGATAATATCTAAGACACACCACACACACACATATATATATATATAATACCATATATATATATGGTAATACACACATGCTTTACCTTCAAAATGGCAACTTCCTAGAAAAAAACGGATGGCAAACCCTGATAAACCATGATAAATCGAATATAAATCGATATAAACCATGGGATTGACGGCTCTCATTCACCATAGCCAGCCACTGACCAAACTCATCCTTTCAGGGAGGTCATGGTGCCCGGTCCACCATAGTCCCTGAGGCGTCTGCAGTGAGTCGGGGCACCGGATGAAAAACCATAGCTTTCAATACTGAAATGGTCATTTTGCCTTGGATGATTTATTGTTATGAAACGAACGGATGCAGATCAACAAATCAACGGAGAGAGAGTGATCTTGATGATAATTGGTTTTGATTTTTCTAAGGGACGAATACGGATAAGAAAAGAAAGGACAAGGTAAATGGTGATGTTGATGATATGACATCATGTGTCATGTGTTTTAGGTACGCGCATTCGGTGTTTGCAATAATGAAATGATGCGGGTAGTTGGAGGTGATTGGTCCTTCGCCGACCAAGACCGGCTGGCGCTTCTCAGTCCGGATGAATGATACAAACTGACACCAAGTGAGCCATGAAAAATGCCGGGACTGGTGTTTTTTGCGACAGTAACCAGGGTATTTCCAGACGGTTATGTTGATCGGTGTTTTTTTGACCGGTAGCCGGTGTTTTTTGCGACGGTGCCCCCACAATGGTGTTTTTTGCGCCAGTGGTCGGTGTATTTTGCGACAGTGGCCGGTGATAACTCGAATGCTATTGGTTCGCAGGAGAGTAGAGGAGGAGGAAAAGGAGTCAAGGAGGATGAGGAGTCGAGGCGGAGGAGGAGGGTGAAGGAGCCGTCTCGAGGTCTGATGGCAGAGAGGCTTGAGAAAAATGCCACTGTTGATAAGTTAATATTGGGTGAAAACAGTGAAAACTAAACGTTTTGTTTCTTCTTTGATTATGAACTAGCCCACAATAGGGATACGTGATCCACTCTGGTGATGGTTTGAAAATTGAAGTGGTACGCATCATTTCTGGACTGACGCCACGATTGATTTTTGTAGAATTGGTGGCACCTCCGAACCAAATTGTGGCTTCTTGAAGGAGGAGGCGCCAAGGGACAGATATCCAATCTGGCTGAATTATGACAAATGCAGCACGATGTCAACAATAGATCGGATATGGTGGGTACCATCTCCGCATTGACCTTATGCCAGGTTTCAGTATGAAGGTTGGTGAATTAGAACAATTCAGCCAGATATAATTCGATCATTTAACTCGATTTGGCACATGTTGCAGAAGTAGACGATCGATCAACGATGGACAGCGGACAGAAATGGCATGGAGTGGCACCCCTTGTCCTCATGGAAGCCACTCATTTTCCCAGATCCTGGTCGAGTCATCCGGGACGAGGGCAAAGGTGCACAACATGTGAGATGGGGATAGGGATGGTTAGAGGTGATCATGTAGGCCTGTTGGCACTTGTACATATATATATACACACACATATATATATATACATATACATATATATTATAAATATATGCATGATATATAATTTTTACAGTTACATAGTTACATATATAATATTTTTAAAGGCAGGGATGCCTGAAAGAGGCTTCAAGTAAAACCATGGAACATGCTCCCCTTCCAAACCCACTTCGGAGGAAGGAGATCCCAGCGCTTCCTCGTTGAGTCTTGGCTCACAGCGGCTCGCTGCTGTTTTGCCAACACCATGCCGCCCAAAGCCGTGCGAAAGTCGTCCGAAGAGGTCGCCCCCGGAGGGCTTGACAGGGCCTAGATACACCCTAAGTATGGTGAGTTTGGGGGAGATGAGGAAATCGTGTCCTATTTTTGTTGATGATTTTTTCAATGGATGAAATTCCAAAAGTGGAATGATGGGCTCTACCCATCCCTACCCACTGGGCGACTGGTGGCACCTCCCCAGGCTCCTCCTGCCAAAGCGACAGGCGGAATGTTGGGCTGAGGGGAATGCGTCAGGGGACCTCATGATTATATCAGATAGCCGTAGATAGCCCATGAAAGTGGACGGAAACATGTTGATCTCTTTGAGCATCCAGACCCTTGAGCCCTACATGGCGTCCCAATTTTGGCATGTGGACAATGTGGACAATTGATGATTCACATCACCACGCCATATGGCCCAATGTGAATCACAAAGTGGATCAAAACTCAAACAGACTACGCAACAGCGGAACTGTAACGGCCTTGTAGAAGGTGCCAGAACAAAAGATAGACACGGAGGTAGTCGGATGGATGGACAGGGCGAATTATAAAGAGATCGGCAGGTTGAGACCGAGGAAGTGGATGCAGTGTTTGACCTCATAATTTTAGGCCCTTACCAGATACAGGATATGATATATATTACAATGTATATGTTTATACATATCATATATTTATATTAGAGAGAAACACAGAGAGAGATATATATATACACACATATATATATACACAGATATATGTATAGATGGTATCTTCCCTGGAAGTTGATGGGTTACTGCGAATCCTAGTTATATATATATAACCTGTGATACTGGTAGTATTTTGATTTGGATTTCAAAGCCAGTTTTCAACGACAATTTTTATAGCGCAATTTTTGCCGGTGTTGTAGAATTCTTCATGAGACACTGACGATATTTTCAGCATTCATCACTGCAATGTCATTGGAACATACAATAACATCAATAACACACACACAACTATCGTATACCATAGTCATCAACTATATAATATCTGGTATATCAACAATAAAATACATGGTATATAATATTTGCATGGTATATCAACTATCGTATACCAAGATATACCATGTATTTTATTGTTGATTGTACTAGGCTATGTGACAGGCGGCGAGGCTCCAAATGCGTGGGGGACGAGGCCGGTAGAGCAGTGGTTGGGGTTGCACAGGGGTTGGTAAATGTCCTAACATCATACAACTATTGAGGATATCATCTCCAAATACTTGAAAGTGATGTGTTTCACAAATCCCCAAAATGGGATATTTATTAAGCGCTGCTAGAATTGGGTTGCATCCAGACTCATGGCTTCTGGTTACAACTCTTGAGATTCAGGGGGGCCAGAGGCCGGAGCTGCAGTTTTGCGCTGTTTTTAGCATTCAAAGATTTTTTTTTTAAAGGCAGCACCATCCCATCTCATCACTCATACTATGTGTATATATATACATATACAAAAATGTTAGTTGGTTGATAGGTTTCCCTACTATGGGTTATCATAATCCCCAATCGAGGATAAATTAGGTAGCATAAGTCCCTGTATGAACCAACCGGCCGCAGCATTTTTGATGGCTATCGGTAAAATGTGGGACACCAATTTTAAGTTGGTCTATGGCCCCATTGGGTATACTATAGTTGTAAGTATCATAAACCATCATAAAAACGAGTTAGCCCATTTGACAATCAGGCTTACGACCTGGTGGTCATTTCCGCAGGCCCGCAGCGTCCGCACCGCGGACGGCGGCAACGCCAACCAGCCCCAGTACAGGCTGGGAGTGGCAGGTCCAAAAAGGTGGCCCACCTTGGTATTCGGATAGATCTGGAGATTTCTGGGACCCATTGGGTCATCATTTTCATTCATTTTCCGGATGTATACCTAGCTTTTTTTTCCCAGAGATGGGGAGATTCACAGAGGTCACCAATACTGGGATCTCAATATACAATAGTCATCAATATTCCAACGTGTGAAAACATCATTTGAAAGCAATGTTTCAATAGAACGGAACCATAACATCTAGGATTCTGGCCTTTTGATCTATCTACGGTGTGCACTGCGGTTGGATGTTGGAAGCATTACCTGATTTCTCCAGCCCGGGAAGAAAGGAACCATTGGACCTAGAAGCCGGCACCGACTGGACACTGGTTCCAAATGGTTCCAAGCTGTTCAAACCGATTCCAAAGCATTTTTGTCCATTGGACGAACTTGGGATTATGGTTCTCAATGGTTCTCAACAAAATTAGTGCTTGGTGGTGGTTTGCAATTCTGGGAGAGATCAAAATGACTTTCTCAAGCGGACCTGCGATTCCAAACTGCCAGCCCAAGCCAAGCCTCAATTGTTGGCTGACGAAAATGGGATGACAATTGGATGCCTTAATGTAGGTACTGTAGAGCTTAGTTTGGTAGGTTGCTAGTCGATTTCCTCGCCGTAGGCACTTTCTATCATCAGTGAAATCTCTAACACTGCTCAGAATCAACTTTTCTTTTTCCCAGGGGAAGTGGGTTTGTTGCTCGGTTTGTTTGAGAATAGGGCAACCATAATGCACGGGTTAATCATCAATCTCCCTCTTGAATTATTAAAGTTGGCGGGAAGTGTGGGTACATCTCATGTTCACACACCCGGTTCTCACCAAATAACTGCAACTGTAGTTGGTGAAATCCCACAGAGAGATTTGGGATCATGAAATTAATTGACTGTGAAAGTCCCATGAAATTCACATCCTATTAAACCCCATGAAATCAGATTGGGATGATATTAAAGTCCCGTTAGATCCCCCCGTGAAATCCAATGAAAAATCCCATGTCTGTTGGTCGAGTCAATGCCCCAACAATCTCCCCATTGGCATCCGCCATCTCTCAACCTGCTTCCGAAAGAGGTCCGAAAGCCAAAGCTGCCGCCCAGACCAGTATGAGCATTGCCGCTCAAGCGGCCAGGCGATGGCCGTGCAGAGAAGCGGATGGATGATGCTTGGGTGATGGGGAGTACGTATTGAGGATCTCACAGTGACTTTTTATTGGGGGGGGGGCAGGGTATCTAAGGGTTTCCAATGTCGTTCGGAACATGTAGTTTGCACAGATATACTTGATATATGTGCGCACGGGCCAACATTTCCCAAGCAGATACCCCGAAGTTACATGTTTTTTTCTGTTTGAAGTCACTTGGAAGTGGGATGCCATGCGTGACATTTTGTCCGCCAGGAACCTTGGTGGCTTCGTGCCCAACAAGATCTTCGTAGGGGGAGTGCCCATCACGGTGACCGAGGACAGCGGTGGTCCTGGGACCGATGTTGCGGCGGTCCGCATGTGGAGCTAGGGATGATGGATGAGCCATTATCATTGGGGGTATATTGATGGTAAATGTTACCATATATAGCATACATGGATCCTATAGGTAATTTATTATATGGGATATGAGATATCTGATAAGCCATGATGTTTCCCGGATGTGGAAATGGGGAGCTACAGAGCACTCTCTGAATAAATCTGAATTCACCGTGGTTCTGTTGAACGCCCAGCTCGGTAATGTGTTGGTCCTCGTTCACCCCGCTGAACCGCAACCAAACTGTTGGCAGGAGCAATTTAGGCAATGCTTCTCGACCTATGGTTCCATTACCAAAGTGGAGTTACATGCGCTACGCGGCTTTGGATATATCACCTATGACACCGTAGAGGCACCGGACAGAGCCAGGGAGGTTCCTGGTTGGATCGGCCGTTATCCCAAGAATTGAGGATCACCCAAATCCATGAAAATCCAGTCATTATAAGAGAAATGGTGATGATAAATCCACTAGATCATGGTTGTTCATGGGGTATGTCGGAAGGATGGGGATCTTTCTGCCCCGACTTCACTCCCCGCCCTCTGGATCCATAGGCGGTTGACGCCTGTTTGGAGAAGTACGAGGAACACTACCTTTGTAAAAAGTGGGTGGAGGCACGGAGACTTTGGGATCGGGGGATGGAGCAGTTGAGATGCATCCCAGATCATCCCAGCTGAGACCCCTGTCAAACTGGGGGACCGGATATCGGATATCCCAAATTCATTTCTTCGCCGGCCACTGCTTGAGTTCACTATAGTTCACTCGCCTCTCATTCTCTCAGATATCTTCAACAGCTACAACGGGTAGAACATGCTAAAACACCATCTTTGCATATTTGCCGCTTTCCTGCGTTTTGTGGTTCGTCAATATCGGTTGAATCCTTCAACTACAGGTCATCCCCTGGTTTCTTACCCCCCCCAACCCACCCCACCCCGACCCCGGCCCCATCCGCATCCGCCCAGGTGAAGCGATCGATTCCGCGTGAGCTGATCGAAGCCTACGAACGCGAGCAACGGCGGCTGCACCAGGAGTCGGCTGCCAGCAGTAGCCCAACCAAGCCCAAGGCATCAGGGCGGCCGTGAGCAGCTGGGTGGAGGTTGGACCTGAAGAGACCCCCATCCCCAGTTTCTTAGGGGGGAACGATTTTGGACGATTTTTGGGCTTGTTACTTTTTTGGTTGGAATCCTGCTCTATTTGACCATCACATACGTCAGATGCTTCAAAGATCTTCTAAGAATGGAATTCCCGTGAAGGAATGGTGCTTTCTCGATGCTCGTTGTAGGGCCGTAGGCGCCATGATCGTTTGTGAACAGTTCTGCCGCTGGACTAAGGTGATATGGACATATATGGACATATGTATATGGACATCATGAAAGATAATTAGATTATATAGATTCAGATTTCACCTGATATCACCCGATTTAACCTCAAAATATTGAGGCAATGCATTTTCAGGTCTCACATTGATCCGTCCCATCTCCAGGAGATGGCTGCGCCCAAAACCAGTGCTCCCACGGGTGCTCCCGCAGGTGCCAAGCTCCGATGGGGGCAGGGTAGGAATTTCATCGCACCAAGCATGGCCAAGTCGATCCTGAGCTCTATTTAGGTTGGTTTGATGATGTTTGATGCATCTTTTATGGCCTCCACTCTTGCAAGGTCCTACCTAAATTCGGGATTCAGAACGTCCAAACGATGTCTTTTGGGGTCCGCGGGTGATGCGGGTGATTGGACCAGGTCCAAAAATAGAGCCACGGATCATCTTGCGCATTGGTTGCAGCACTCCCGATCATGTTCACCATTATCAACTCCCCAACAGCAGCAAGAATCAATTGCTACACCATGTTAAGGAACATGTCCAGCAGGTAGAGCCCATCTCGTCACAGAAACTTCCCAGTTCAAATGTGTATAGTGGCTCCCACCATCAAGCGAAGGTGGCAAGGGTGGGCCCGCAGTCTGAGCCTTGGGGCTGGTAGGGGGATGGAGTTTTTTTGAGCGAAGCTGGATGCACCAATGGAAAACATAGGACTTGCAAATTAGCTCCGCGCTCTTTGGTAGGTTTGAATGGTTTTGATGCCTCCAGTTTGACATGTTACAGCCAACATTTGCATTGTGTTTGCCAATTTCTCTTGGTTTCAACCCCTTCCTGATATGGGTGCCCCCATGGTAATGTCTCTCAAATCGCGTGTCCTGGCCTATCCCAACTTCAAGCCAGATGAGTGTCCGATGTGATCTGTTACCTTCTATTGTCCGTTGCGTTGCCTCAAGCCATTGTTCCAAGACGGCATCCCCCAAAACATGCAAGTCAGGCATGCCATCCCAGAGATCATAATTGCCACGCAGCAAGTCCCAGCAAGATCCATGAGTTGATGTAATGGCACTGCCCCCAACCTGGTCTATCCCCGAGGTCAACTCAACAGCTTCAGGATGTTGAATCAGTTGAATTCTGAAAATGCGCTTGATACCCAGCCATTTGGATCCATGATATGAGCCATGTAAGCATTGCATTTCCTTTTGCTCCATATTTGTTTGGACTCATTGTGCCCTGTTTCGGAACCCATTTCCATTAAATTCAATAACTTCAATAGATGAACAAAACGGTTCTGGCCGCCGTTTGAGCTGCCGATTCGGGGGCCCAGCCTTCGGATGGTGGCTGGGAGCATCAGTGGCTGGGAGCAGTGGTCTCTATAGGAATCTATGAATCTATGAGCATCCATGCTACATCATTTTCCCCTATGGGGTAGCCAGTTGGAGGTATAAATGAGCTTCCCAACCACAACCACATAATACAGTTTGATATAGATATTCTCTTGAAGGATCAGTTTGGAGGCTTCAAGCCACACACTTTATCAAAAATTGCGTGAACCAGCAGAAATGACGTGACATGATGATACATGTGTTACATGACGGAGTCACTTGCTCCGGTAAAGCAAGCATTGCATTGCAAAAAACATCTTTTTCATAAGCAGTTATATCCAGTTACCGGTTGCGTGTTGCTTGTTACCTACATATTATTCCGATAGTTTATTGTTTTTCATCCCCATGTTTGTCGGTAAAATCTTTGAGAGAGTTCAACCTCCAATTTGAGGGGTGGAACGCAATTTCAAAGCACCAATTCTGTTTGCTAACATCCTCAATCATCCTCAATTCTGCCGGTGAAATCAGGATTTTTGCTCGACAAATCATCATTTGAGCAGGTCAAATTCCTTTTTTGTAGCTACTCACCATTGCTGATGTAGATTTGCCCTGGGATGGCTATTTTATTTTTATTTTTTTTTTTTTGCGCGGCATTTTTTTTGGTTCCTGGTTCTATGCTTTCCTGTTTCTCGGATTTTCTGCTTTTCTGCTTCTCTGCTTTTCTGCTTTTCTGCTTCTCTGCTTTTCTGCTTCTCTGCTTTTCTGCTTCTCTGCTTTTCTGCTTCTCTGCTTTCATTGCTTCTCTGCTTTTCTTGCTTTTCCTGCTCTGCTTTTCTGCTTTTTGTTTTCCCTGCTTCTCTTCTTTTCTGCTTTTTGCTTTCCCTGCTTATTTGCTTTTCTGCTTCTCTGTTTTCCCTGCTTCTCTGCTTTTGTGCTTCTGTGCCTTTCTACTTCTACTATTCTACTTGTTCTTTTCTTCAGTCATGTGTTTTTGCTGCTCTACTTCCTGCTCCTTTGCTTCTTTGCTTCCTGTCTTTACTGTCTCTTTGTTTTTCATTTTCTTTTGCTTTATTCTGTTCTGTTTGTATCCTAAATGAAACCCTAGAGAGACCCTAGGTGAAACCCAAAGAAATCCTGATAAGAAATCCTGATAAGAAACCCTACATGAAGCCCTAAATGAACCCTAAAGAAACCATAAATGAACCCAAAGACACTTTAAATGAAACCCTAAAGAAACTTTAACTGACACCCTAAATGACATTAAAACACCTACTGTAAATGCAACCTCAACTGACACCTGAGCTGAAACCCTAAATTGACACCCTAAAGACACCCTAAATGAAACCCTAAATTGACACCCTAAATGAAACCCTAAAGAAACCCTAAACGAAACCGTAAAGAAACCCTAAAGACCGCAAAGAAACCCTAAATGACACCCCAAATGAAACCCTAAAGGAGCCCTAAAGGAACCCACTTGAACGTTTAGAAATCGTGAAAAGAACTGATAAAAAACCTTGGAATGAAACCCTAAAGAAAACATGAACTCTCGAATGAAACTTTAAATTGAAACATAAAATGACACCCTAAAGAATCCCTAAATGAAACCCTAAAGAAACCCAAACTGAAACCCTAAAGAAATCCAAAATGAAACGCTAAATGAGACCCTAAATGAAACCCAAACTGAAACCCTAAATGAGACCCTAAATGAGAACCTAAATGAAACCCTAAACGAAACCCTAAAGAATCCCTTAATGAAACCCTAAAGAAACCCTAAAGAAACCCATTTGACCGTTTAGAACTCCTGATAAGAAATCCCGATAAGAGACCCTACATATTCCCCTACATGAAACCGGAAAAAACCCTAAATTAAATTCTAAAGAAACCCTAACCCTAAAGAAACCCTAAATGAAACCGTAAAGAAACCCTAAAGAAACCCGAAATAAAACCCTAAATGAAACCTTAGATGACGCCCTGAATGAAAGCCTAAAGAACCCTCAGGAGACCCACATGAACGTTTGAAGTACCAAAATGTAGCAAATACCATGCAAATGAAAGGTTCAAATGCCAAAATGTGACAAATACCATGCAAAATGGAAGGCAAACATTGCCAAATGTAGCAAATGCCATGCAAAATGCAAAGTGACCATGCCAAAATGTAGCAAATACCATTCAAAATGACCGGTTCTAGTTCCAAACTGTTGCAAATACAAGGCAAATGGTACCAGGAAAGAAAAAGAAAAAAGACAAAACCTGAGGCAACAAAAATACCAAAAACTATTCTACAGTACACCCTTGGCCCTGGCAACTCAGGCCTTCAACATCCATGCGGTACTTCCCAGCGGCCGGACGGTGCCGGTGTCGGTGCCAGGATCTTGCCAATGTGTTGGCGACTTGAAGATCCCAGTGCAGAGAGCCGTGGGCC